TCTATGATAAAAAATAAAAACTCATTGTTAAAGCTTTTATAATACATAAGAGTTTTTTCAGATTTTTACACAGTCCAATATAAAATCTGCATCTGAAGATTCAGGTTGCAGAAAAAGGGTGAAAATTTTACATTGCCGACAGAAGATTAATTATTACTTTATTAAGTAATTACAATATTGTATACCTTCAGCAAAGGTCTCGACAAGTTCATTTGATAAAATGTAGTATATGTTTGAGAATCTGTATATTCCTCAAAATCGATAACTTCATCCTTTTCTTTCATATTTTTTATTTTGCTTTTCTTTTCTTTAGTTTTAAAGATATCTACAATTAATCAATAAGAGAGATAAATATTTATATATTATTTCTAAGACAATATAAATATAAATAAAATACAAATATAATGTAATCAGTTTGTAATATTCCTTATAATATGTATATGCAAATATAAAAATCACAATTTCTATTTATTTGTTTTGGTTATATAATATAAATAAAATTAATTACATCTACCTTTTTTAAGCTCATCTTCAGATAGAGAAATTACATCATCATCTTGACCTATTCCTGGTTCAATTTTAATAGGGTCATCTTCAGTTCCAGCCTAGCAATTATAATAAATATAAAAATTTTTATTCATAACTTTATCACAATTTTAACAATAAAAATTTCATTAAAAAAAATTTCATTAAAAAAGTACAATTTACTATAATTTACAAATAATAGAGACAATGTGATACTTACTTGCCCTTGATATTCCTTTCTGACTTTTTTTATCTTATCATCTAATTTTGTATTTGGTTTGCGTTTAATATACTTATTCAAGTCATTCCAAGGATCCAGATTGTGTTCAGCTGAAGTAAATTGGAAACCCTTGTCAAAATCTTTGTTCTCTTTTTTCTTCTGCTTTCGTGGTTGAAACTGATAAATAGAGTTTAGGAGAAAATGTATAATGAATTCGCTCATTTGTATTATATTAGATTAGTGTACTAAAAGCTGCTATATTATAAAATTAGTAAAATAAAAGCATATAAATGTTTTAAATAATTAAATACCTAAGAATGATACTGTCGTTTATTTAACAGAATATTATTTTTATTGTCAAAGTATTTTATGTCACTATATTTACATATTTATGTACAAAGTAATCTTTAATGTATATTATCTAGGATAATAAGAGTATCCGAATTCATTAATATCCAAGATATACCTATTCACAAATGATAAATTCAGTCACTAGCACTACATTGGAAAAGAGTATAGTTTAAGTGCTGTTTTATATAAAATAAAATACAGTGGCATAATATAGTCTTTGACAAATGCAATAATACATATATATCACCATTGGATATTTGATATTATTATTGCATATTTAATTGTGTAAAATATTTATATCTATGCTGTTATTTAACTTTGCTAATTTATATTATAAAGCAGCTTTTAGTACTAATCTAATATAGCACTAACACTAATCTAATATAATGCAAGTAATCGAATTCGCTAACAGAAAAATATGAGAAAGAGGATTTAATGGAATAAAATGTTTTTAAAATAAATCGCTTGTATTATTTCGACACAAGCTTTTATTTCTGCTTACGTCGTCTTCCTCATCCGAATTCTCGGAATAATTTGGTACCTCCTGATCATCCTTAATCGTTTTTATCAAATCGCAGTTGCTCATCATTTCTTATTGCTTAGATTAAAATACCGGCGAGAGAAACATACAGCATTTGCCAGCGTTTGTTTTGAAGTGCTTTGGATTTTTTGATGGTTAACAAAGGTTAACATGGACAACACGTCGTGAATGCATATTAGACTCACATGTTCATTACTCAATTGCTGATTGTATTGTGAGTACATAGGCGTCATCGTGATCTTTTTCAATAATCTTTTTCAATAATTTTCGACTCTATACACCATTGTTTTGTACGGTATCGGAATAACTTAACAAGCATGAAATATGAGAATAATTGCCAGGATAATTTGTAGAAATAATAAAAAAATAAAGTAATATATAAAAGTCAATCGTTTATATATCGTTTGAAAAATAGAAAAAGATGAAGAATGTGTGAAAATGAAAACAGTTTTCCATGATTGCCAACTTATGCTTCCATTTGATGAGTGGTAACATTGTACATTTCAGCTTGGTGCTCTGCTCTGTTCATTTTGCGAAAATTGGCGGGAAGAGAGGCTGGTTCTCTCAGAGTGACTGCTTCACTGCTGTGATCTGTGTGTTTGCTTGACGTTTTATCGTTTTCCTACGTACATGATAAATATTTTATTGACATGGGTATTTTAGGCTTGTCGAAATTAATAGCAGACGTAGCTCCGGAAGCTATCAAAGAGCGAGAATTAAAGCATTATTTTGGTAAGTTATTGTTTATCTTGCGTTAATTTTATGTTTTTAACCTTGATCCACGAATTTTTCACCTTGATCCACGAATCTTCTTACACATCTCAGATAAAATTGTATAATCTGTCAATCCTCATAATCAATTATCGATTCTGTTATTGACGTATTGGTATATTATTGATGTTTATTTGGAACTGATTTTGGCTACAGGTCGCAAGATTGCTATTGATGCATCTATGTGTTTGTATCAGTTTCTTATAGCTGTTCGCAGTGAAGGAGCACAGCTCACTACTGTAGATGGCGAAACAACCAGGTATATTTTTCTTAATTGTACAACAAACTTTAATTATAAGTTGTGCTAAATTTTTATCAAATATTGTAAAAAATTATCTCAAGAAGGTAACTTATAAAAGATTATTGAGAACTAATCGGTTATGTAAACTTTAAGCCATTTAATGGGTACATTTTATCGTACCATACGCATGGTAGAGCAAGGAATAAAACCTGTGTATGTATTTGATGGAAAACCACCGAATCTGAAAAGTGGAGAATTAGCTAAAAGAGCTGAAAGAAGGGATGAAGCACAAAAACTTTTGCAAGCTGCCGAAGAAGATGGTAATGACAAATTATATTTCATTATTACTGTAGTAATATTTGAAAAATGATTTATGTTTTGTATAAGAAGATCATGACAAATTTTCATAACAGATATTTTATTAAAGGAAATGTGGAAGCTATTGACAAGTTTAATAGGAGATTAGTTAAAGTTACAAAAATTCATGCTGATGAAGCTAAAGAATTACTTCAGTTAATGGGTATACCTTATATTGATGTAAGTATTTGTGTGAAATTATAGTTTTTTTTATTCATTTCTACGATGAATGTTTTCTATGCAGGCTCCTTGCGAGGCTGAAGCACAGTGTGCTGCTTTAGTGAAGGCTGGTAAAGTTTTTGCCACTGCTACAGAGGATATGGACGCACTCACTTTTGGATGCAATGTGCTACTTCGACGTTTAACCTTTAGCGAAGCCAGAAAGTTACCAGTACAAGAAATTCATTTTGATAAAGTTCTTGCAGGCTTAGAGCTAAATCATAATGAGGTATGCATTTAAATTATTTTTATTAATTGGTTTATTAATTTTATTCTCTTATTAAGTAACATATTATTTGCAGTTTATCGATCTGTGTATTATGTTGGGTTGCGATTATACAAACAGTATCAAAGGAGTTGGTCCAAAAAGAGCAATAGAATTGATAAAAAATCATAGATCTCTTGAAAAAATTATTGAAAATCTAGACGTCAAGAAATATCCCATTCCGGAAGATTGGAATTACAAAGATGCAAGATTATTGTTTCAAGAGCCAGAAGTGTCTAATCCAGATGACATCCAGGTAACTTTTTGCATTGAATAATTTTTCTCTGTGTAATTACATGTATTAAATATTTTTTTATTTTGTAAGTTAAAATGGTCCGAACCAGATGAAGAGGGTCTGGTGAAGTTTTTATGTGGTGACAAGCAGTTTAATGAGGAACGGGTTAGAAATGGGGCTAAAAAACTTCACAAGGCTCGAAACACATCTACACAGGGCCGATTGGATTCATTCTTCAAAGTTTTACCGAACTCAACTCCGACTCCAAAGCGAAAGGTGAGATTTTTCGAACAACCACTTTAATATTACTTAATATCTCTAAGTTGAAATTAAATAAAATTTTCTTTACACTTATAGGCAGAAGAAAAAAAGCTTCCAGCTAAGAAGGCAAAGGCAGCAGGTAACAGTAAATTTCGCGGTAAAGCAAAGTGAGAGTAATTTTATAAATTTGACAAGAATGTATAGTAATGCTAATATTATAGTGTACTTATATCTTATATATCTCAACACAATGTCCTACACACATGTTGTATATTTATTTTTATAAATTTCTACACTGCAGTTTCAATTGGTAAACATGATATGATTTTTTTTCTATTTATTTCGTAAAATATACAATATTCGTGTACAATACATATTTTTATAAATTTCATCGTGACGAGCATTCAACAATGTGTCATGATATATTTTTATAACAATTTTTATATTACTATATTATTTAGATTCATGCATGTTATTTATTGTCATTGTACATCTTCATGTTATTTTATTTCTTATCATATTTTATTTCTTCATATCATATTTTATATCTTCACATCATATTTTATTTCTTATTAATATTTCTAAATAATTTTTTATAATAATAATAGGCAGAAATTTAGAAAAAGACAAAGTATTCTATCTGTTAATGTAATTATATCATCTCAGTCTTTATTTTAGCACCAAGTATGTTTGACTACTATTTCTTGATTTGCAAAATTGATATAAATATTTATTAACAGGCAGTGATTACTTATCAAAATTATACACTGTTATGTACAAAAGATATACAGTATATTTATATATAGTCGCAATATGAATTTTTTCCAATGATACATTATTGAAATGTTATAATTGTACTACCAATAGAATTTGGATCTAAAACATGGAGCAACGCTCGCTCAATATTGTATGGTGCGTATACCCTGTCCACAACTGTTTGTAAATGATGAGCATCGGTCAGCTCGCATAATGCTCGCAAATATGCGACATTCAACTTTGCTCCTTCCTTCCATTGATGCATATTAAATCCGAACATATACTACAATTTAAAGTATCAGTTAGTACAATTTAAAGTATCAGTTAGTACAATTTAAAGTATCAGTTAGTAATATATCATAAACAATGATTTTTATTATTATAACTAGCATGAATTAAAATTAAAATACCTGAACCAATAATTTTATTCTAACACATCCAGCAAATATACTTCCACAAATAAATCCCAGCGAGTCTGATGTCAATTGTTCAGGAACAGTTGATACGTAGGAGCCATGAGGTAATAAGCGTTTCTTTAAAATATGTTCTTTAAAAGATTGATTATCAGTATAAAAAATGGCATCGAATCTATAATGAAATTAAGTTCAATCTAATTAAAACAATATATTTTTTTATTCTTTTATTTTAATAAAATAATTTTTGTATTATAAATTTTATTCTGAAAACTTCTTCGTACTTATCATGCAATTGTAATTCTTTCTCGACGTCGGTTTCGTTTATTACTATAACTTCGTTGGCACCTAATGCCTTCATTACAGGCACGGCGTCCGTTCGGCAGGCGGATACTACATATCCACCCCATAATTTAATTAATTGCGTCAAGATACAACCGATCGGAGTACTTCCACCGAAAACGAGAACTCTATAACGATAATATTCTTCTCTAACGATAATTGATATTTTAGATATGAGAGCCAAGATGATATCAAGATATTACCGTTTTCCTTTGGCATTGCCTTCCTTGATAACAGATCTATTAACTAAAGCATCCCATGCCAGACAACCATTGTACGGCAGGCTGGCAGAGGCTTCGAAGTTACATGATTTAGGCCGTTTTGCTACTTGCGTTTCTGGAACAATTATATATTCCGCCATCGTGCCAGAAGCCCACGATGGAACGGCTAAAAATACTTCATCCCCGATATCGAAATTAATAACGCTTTGTCCAATGTCAACTATCACTCCTGCACAATCTCTCCCTAAAGTTACAGGTAGTTCTTTCTGTTTCTAAATACATAGGTACATGCATTACTGATTATAATGATGATTTGGATCACCAGATATCAGTGGGCTCTTGACAACTTTACTTACTCCTGAGTTAAGTAATCTTCTATAGATCCTAGAGTAACCAGAGCATATCTTTGTATCAATAACATTAATTGAGGCGGCCTTAACTTGTATAAGCAATTCATTTGATTTTTTAATCGTTGGCATTTCGGAATCGTCTATCAGTAATACACCCTGGAGCAATAGTAAGGCTGGTATTCATAGATTCATAGATTTTTATATTTAAGACATTATCTTAAGTCATGTAACAAACCACTGCTTCATATTCTTAACATTATTTAAGACGGTCTTATATAAATAACAATGAACTATGAATACCGAACTAATAAATATATTTATATCTATATTCAAAATCATAATATGATGTTTTATATATATATA